TTGAAATGGATGGCTCTCCACAAAGCTCTCAACCTCCTAACCACCTTGAAGTCCCTATAAATTCAGCATTTCATTCTCTTCATTCATCATCCCGGAGTGATCATTTCAGCTTTAGACATTTACTTCTCAGCTTGTTTTCGTTTTCCCTTTAAGTTTTTGAGTTGTTATTGTTTTAACCTTGCTTATTTCAAGTTCACCCTTTATTTCCAGCTTGTTATTTTAGAATTGTAAGTTTGATTTTATTTAATTAAAATTCCAGCAAGTTCTTGATATTCATTCCTTTCCCTATCTCTCATTACGAAGTTGTAATCACTCRACCTTGAGGAATTGACTGAGTATTGCTCCCCAATCTTGAAAGAGAACAGGTTAGGGTCATTCGGGCTACAACTCCATAATTTCCAGCTTGTTTTAATTCTACTCATCCTTTAATTATGTCGTCTACTTCCATGAACATTAAATTTTGTTTTTCCTTTATCATCATGAGCTAAATTTATTTTTCCCAAGCCCAGTTATGGATAGTTAGTTAAAGTTTTTTAAAATCCAACGAGGCAAAAGGCGTTTTTCTCCTATTTTATCACTTAAAGTTGTTTCCATAAGTTGGAACTTGATTTGGCCAATTAATGTTTTAACCAAACATCAATACTGAAAGGGTTGATACGTTTTCACAAATTTACTGATTTAACTTTAGAGAGGAATACTTTAGACATAAAGATTTAGCTYGGGTAGCCTAGACATAGGAYCTCGACCTAAGGTTACGGTTGGTTCTTACTAAATTAAGTTATWTTTTCTAATAGACATATTAGRAATGGACTTAAACCTTCAAAATCACTTAGACATAAGAAGATGGCGAAGTAAAACCGAAGAAAATTTATGAGAGCCGCCTGGCGCCTAGTTGGAAAAAGTTTGTGTATTGTTAACTAATTTGAAGTAACTGGGCTGGGTTTATTGCATTGAGTTTTTAAATATCAAAACCAACATTATCTTTATTATTTGTCACCCCAAATTCAATTACAAAGTCTCCGATCATTAACATTTCCTATAAAAAGACTTCATTTGTCCCTGAGGATCGATACTCGGAATATTCATTCCGTTTTTACTACTTGTGACGGGTATACACTTGCGCTCTCATTTATTTTGAATCCAAAATACCCAAACAAGTTTTTTGCACCGTTGTCGGGGACCATTTGTTTTAGTCTTTTATCGGTTTTTGTGATTGTCATTTCTGTTCTCAAACATTTTGATTTATATCCAACCACGAAAGTCATTGATTAGTGCATGAGCACGGATTCATTTCTATTGCCATTTGATCTTGAAATTGAGAGAACCTGTCGTAGGTTGAGAAAAGAACAGAGACTCAGAAAACAGAGAGAAAAGCAAAAAAAGAAAGAAAAAGAAAGAGATTTCGAAAGCGAGAGTGAAAGTACCATCACTTTTATGGACGAGATTCCACCACAAGATCCTGCAGATCCACCAATTGTTAACGGAAATATGGCAGGTCAACAACAAAACAATGAGTTCAATCATATCTTGGTGGTAGATAATAGAGACGTAGCCATGCGAGAATATGCTGCCACAGCATTCCAGAATTTGGATTCTGTCATCCTAAATCCCATTCCAGAAGCCGCCAACTTTGAACTGAAGCCACTTATGTTTCAAATGCTTCAGACATTAGGACAGTTCGGGGGGCGTGAACACGAAGATCCTCATGATCATCTCAAAACTTTTCTTCAAATAGCTGGTGCATTTAGATTTCCAAATATAACTGATGATGCATTAAGGTTAACTCTTTTCCCATTTTCTTTTAAGGATCAGGCAAGAACATGGCTCAACTCGTTCCCGCCAGGATCAATTACAACATGGCATTCGCTAATAGAAAAGTTCCTTACAAAGTATTTCCCTCCTACTCGCCATGCAGACATCAGGGAAGAGATTGTCACCTTTAGACAATATGATCGTGAACCAGTACACGAGGCATGGGAAAGATTCAAAGAATTGCTGCGAAAGTGTCCGAACTATGGATTACCAGCATGTATCCAAATCGAGCACTTCTTCCGAGGTTTGGACCACCCCACTAAGATGATGCTCAACAACGCTGCAAATAGAGCTTTCACGAAGAAGACCTTCAACGAAATAGTTGATATTTTGGAGGACCTAGCATCCCACAATGAGCTATGGTGTTCTCAAAGGTCAAAACCTGCCCCTAAGAAGCAGGATCAAGCGGGTGTATTCGCTTTGGATGTAGGAACTTCAATGCAGAAGGAAATGGTGACGATGAACCAAATGCTCAAAGAGTTGGCCCTAGAAAGGAAGAGTGCACCAACTGCACCCGTGCAACCAGAATATGCTTCTCCTGTTTGCCAAATTAATGAAACTGTTTGTTCTTGTTGAAGTGATAACCATGTTTATGAGAATTGTCCGCATAATCCAGCTTCTGTTTATTATGTAGGTCACGGGAACAATCAGAACTTCAACCCCTATTCAAACACGTACAATCCGGGGTGGAGACATCATCCCAACTTTTCCTAGGGAGGTCAAGGAAGTTCTAGTGGAGCGACCCAAGGGCAGAACCAGCAGTATAAGCAGCCCTATGTCCCTCCTACTTTTTCAAGCAATCAACACATGCCACCACCACCACAACAGTATAATCAGAACCAAAGAACCCCATCGCAGCCAGCTCATAATAACAATACTAGTCTTCAGAACATGTTTAAGGAGTACATGGCGCGCAATGATGCATTGATGCAATCCCAGAATGCCACAATCCAAACTTAAGCAGCGGCAATGAGAAACCTAGAAGTTCAAATAGGACAACTTTCCAATGATTTGAAGGCGAGACCACAAGGCTCTTTTCCTTGGCATACTGAAGTTCCAAAAAGAGATGGAAAAGAGCAATGCAAGGCGGTAACTTTGAGAAGTGGATTGTCTTATGAAAGACCAAAGATGCCGGTTGAGGTAGAGAAACCTTCCACATCAATTCAAAATTCTCCTAGTGAAGCAGAGAAAGAAAAAACCACCTCGGGTGAGGGGGAGGCGTCTGGCGCCTCTTCACAAGAAAATTCATCTTTTCTCCTGATTCCTCCTTTCCCTCAAATATTAGCCAAGAAAAACCAAGAAACTCAGTTTAGAAAGTTTTTAGACATCCTCAAGCAACTCCACATAAACATTCCTTTACTTGATGCCTTAGAACAAATGCCAAATTATGCTAAGTTCCTGAAGGATATTGTGTCTAGAAAAAAGAAGTTAGGTGAACATGAGATGGTAGCTATGACTAAGTGTAGTAGTGAAGCTGTAGGTAGCCCTTTGCCCATAAAATGTAAAGATCCCGACAGTTTCACCATCCCTTGTTCTATTGGAGGAAAGAATTTAGGTAGAGCTTTATGCGATCTAGGTGCTAGCATTAACCTAATGCCTCTATCTGTTTTCAAAGAATTAGGCATAGGAGAAGCTAGACCTACTACAGTTACCCTCCAATTAGCAGATAGATCCATTAAGAAGCCTGAAGGAAAAATAAAAGATAAGTTTCATGTAGATAAGTTTATCTTCCCTGCAGACTTCATCATCTTAGACTGTAAGGCCGATTTGGATGTACCTATCATCTTAGGTAGACCCTTCCTAGCTACAGGAGATACAATATTTAATGTTCGAAAAGGAGAAATAACAATGAAGGTTAATAATGAGGAGGTGAAATTTAATGTGTTGGATGCAATGAAACTTCCAGGAGATTTAGAAGAATGTTCAGCTATT